AATGTTTTTCCTAATTAGTTGTTGAATTAAATGCGACTTTGGTATGACTCTGGTCATTGAAAGGCTTAAGTAGTTTTTGTATCGCTCTTCCTGTTTCCTGGCTGTACTTGGGTATTCGGAAAGGTCATCGCCCATGTCGGAAAATCACATGAAGTATCGTTTTGCAATGGTAATGGTCAGTAAGGCTGCATTCTGAACTTCCCTGCAGTAAAGCTAATACTTATGCCAAAAGAAAAAGATATAATTCGCAAACGAGTATCCAAGCTTGAATAAAATTACTGTCATAACCTTAACAGTCAAACAACTTAACACATAGGGACATGAAAAAGTACCATTCATTTTAATTTTTAGTACTAAGTTCATAATAGCCTTGTTGACAGTAGTTGGTTTAAAACTTAGCTAAGCATCACTGCAAATAACATTGCCGTGAATTTACACAGGGTACTGTAAAGGACCAACATGAAAGGTACTGTTATTTGACTTGTAGTATTGACAACCACCACATCTCAGTATTTCTTTATCGTGGATAAAGCAAGTTTATTTATTGTACAAAAAAAAAAAAAAAAGTCAAAAAATGCAATACCCCTCAATTGTGTAGAAGAACCAATAGTAAAATATGAATTTTTGTAATTATTAATTGCAATACTCACATTAAAAAAGTTATTCACCATTATTTGGCGTTTGTAACATATCCATATAAATTGTTCCGGAGTTTTAGCTGTAATTCTTTATAGATCTAAATAGCTACAAGCTAATATATGTAGGTAGATTTATCAACAGAACAGATATACAAATACAAATTCTCTTAACATTGACCATAGGTAGGCCAGCAAAGTTGACCCCTGTGTGACTCCTAAGGGGCATGCTTCAGTTTTCGGAGTTGCGGCAAATTCAAATTCAATTCTGTTTTGTAAAAGCTCTCGTTGCTTGTTGCGTTCTTCTGTTTTACCCTGTTGATAAGCATTGTTGGTGCATCAATTGGCGTTGGATGCCCTCGCAGAGAAGTTTTCACTGGTTCTAGTATCGTAGTGGAGCTCCAGCAAATCGGTCATGTTTATAGAACTACGATTCTTTGGCTGCTTATTAAGAAGACTAGATGATTTAATTTAAATACCTAGTTTAAAATAATAATGAGTTGGGAACTAAAATATAAGTGAAAAATAGCTTCAAAATAAAACAAGTTGAAATCCATAAAACAGGGTCACAAATTCGAAACAATCAGATCGAATAAAATTTTGACCTAGCCTTCTTAACCTAGCTAGTGATAAGAGTCTTCATATATCTAATCTTAAAGACTAAGCCATTATCGACTTTTATAATATATAATATATTATATCAAATGCCATGTTTCATTTATCATGTTTCGATTATCTGGGGCTAATGGCAAAGTGAACAATATAATATGGTGAGTAAAGCTTAAAGTGTGCGACTTATAGATATTCACTAATTCTTTATTCTTCTAAGATTTGAATGGAGTAACTTTAAATATTCCATATGCTCTTTGCTTGGAATATATGTATGTATATACCTTGAACACAGTAAAGAATAAAAAAATTTTGTTTAGATATATATATAACTTATTTTATGTGCAAATAAAGTCGCCGTACACGATACATATTCACGAAAATTAGAATATAGCCAATAAATGTATTGTATAGAATAATTATCGTGCATTTAAAAGCCTGCAGTCTGCAGGTAAAATTTGTTACTTGCGTCAAATAGTTGTCATCAATAAGTTCGCTAAACGTAGAGCAACAGCCAAACTAAACATAAATGGCAGAATCGCGATTGTGTTGCAGCAGCGCAGTCGTCGCCAATCGGGCCGTGAAATGCAGCACGGGCAGCGCCGTCGATGCAGACGGGCAAACGGCTAGAAGAAGGTGGCGTGGCAGTTGCTATAAAAAGGGCGCAATTTTTTTTTTTTTTTTTGATCTTAATGACAATGTCCTTTATACTGTTTTTATGTTGTTCTTCTGGTCTGCTCCCTTTGAATCTGTAAACCTCTGGATCTCTGCTTTAGTCCTCGGCTAATTTAGCTTCTTCGGCTTGTTTACGCTATGAAACAAATTGTATATTGCACATCTTTATTTATATTGTATGCAGAAGTGCAAGCAAGAGCCTAGAATGCTTAATGGCGTGAAAACTTTGGATGCTCTTGCGGTGGATATTATCACTAGGTTGTGAAATATATCTTAATTATAACGAACTCAGTAAAGACCTTATCAATAATAATAATTGAATTCGTTTTTTTTTTTTTTTTTTTTTTAGGTTTAGTAAATCGTATACGTAAAATATCCCTGACATACAAATACCAAATAATACCTACGATATTTGTAAGTCAACAGAAATGAGCCGGAACACATTTCAGGTTCTACAAAGACTTGACAAAGAAAATAATTGGCATTACAATTGAGACTCACTTCTGGGCTCTGGAACATTGATGAGTGCGTAGCTCTAAGGCAATGCGTCAGTGTTAGTTTTGGCTTCAACTGTGCTGATGTTCGTCTCCGGGGCCATACATCAAACCAAATTAGCAGTTTCTCTGGCAAAGCCAAAGTACGAGATGCGAAATGTGAAATGCGCATTTCGTGCGCCAAGGCACAAAAAAGATTGAGGACTGACTGACAAAGAGGCAGACCGACAGACAGACAGCTAGACAGAAGTATAGCTATGCTTATGCTTAGGTGCGCTGGGCAGTCAAATTGCTTTGCAGAATGTCCCGCCAGGGAAAGAGCGAGTAAAGACTCTCTCTCTGAGACGGAAGCTTGTGTAGAAGAGAGAGAGAGAGAGTGACAGAAGCGAGGCTCGAGCGTGTGTGTGTATATGTGCGCGCTTTGGAGTAGTTGCGTTTGATGTGTAAAGTGCGTATAATGCTTGAAAATCTCCATAAAACATGCAATAAAAGCGAAAGAACTGCGAAAAGAGCAGAGTCTTACCTTTTATATTAGTATATGGCTTTTCATAAAAGTGATACATGTATGTGCATGTGTATACATGTGTATGAGCTTGTGTACCTGTTCTCAAATGTGGATCAAATAAAATTTGGATGTCAAATGTAAGTGTGAACTGAGTTAACTTATTTGCTTTAAATTTTCGATTAGATAAAATAATGGTTTTGATTCGATTTGCTCCTAATCGATTTAAATCGAATCAACTTGAACTTTTATCGTTGAGACAGTCTCAGCACTCTTATTCTTACTGTGAAAATATCGTTCGTAGCTTGCGAATAATAATAATTAATGTACCCATCCTCAGCATGTATTCCCATACGTCACTCGTATATTTATTAGTAAACTAAAATATTCTTAAAAATTCATTTCTGAAATTTTTTTTATACCCTGAACCCATTGAAAATGGGAAATCAAATGTATGTAACAGGCAGAAGTAGGCGTGGCAGACCCCACAAAGTATATGTATTCTTGTACAGGGCGATGAGCTGAGTCGATTTAGCTCTGTCCGTCTGTCCGTCCGTCCGCGTGTCTGTCTGTCCTGAGGTCGATCTCAGAAGATATAAGAGCTAAAAACTGAAATTTGTTTCCTTTTCCGTGTGTACCACACGTATATGGAGCTTTTCTCCAAAAAACGATAACTAGTCCCGATATTGTGTTATCGATTAAAACCCTTATCGAAAACTACCTATTTTATTATATCTCCAACACCTTTAGAGCTACAGTCTCTAAACTTTAAATGTAGACATATATGTATTTTATATAATTTCGATTTTTGCTGTAATTTAACCCCCACCCCTATATCCACCTCTCACCCACATATTTGTATTGTATTTCAAATACTAGAGAGTTGTGCTTTGACATATGCACGCATTTTAATGTTGTGAACATCATTGAGATAGTCTATTGACAAGAAAAGTTATATTAACAATTAAGTTCCCATAGTAAGTCCACACTGCAATCCATGCGTGTTTATACGTGCATGCCTATGTGCTTCTTATGAAAGCAGAAAGACGCGAATAATTATTGAAATATAAATAATCTTAGAAAGGTTCAAAGGATTTCGTAGTCGAGCAGTCTCGACTATAGCTTTCTTACTTGTTTAATTTTTAATTTAATAATTTTCAAAAATAGCTGATTCGTCTACATGATCGATTAGTAGAAAAGATGGTTTATTCTATGAGTTAAAAAAAAAAAAAAAAAAAAAAAATGTGTACACTCTATCAAGATGCACAAGCGAGTGCCTTCAGCTTTTATATGTCGATTGACAAGCGAGAATACTAGGGCTTGAACGTCTTGTTGGTTTCAGAAACGATCTTTCGAGTAGGAGCTGTTTAAGAAATGAAATTTCCCCTGCCACAATGTGCATTTTAATGCACGTTAATGAAACAACTCGCATCAACAGCTATTTTCTACTGGCCGACAGCCACTCCCTTCTTATCGTTCGGTGTTGACAGCGTTCTTAATGACGTTATCTGCATACGAGGCACGGCGTATGAGCAACTCGCTGCAACTGTGGATAGCTTGAGGTGTTTTAATCTTCTCAACTTTGCGTTGAATTTAATTAAATAAATAAAGTAAATGTATGTGACCGTTGTTGTCTTCCGCAAAAGATTTATAATTACTTTTAATGTGAATTGGGCAGGGCTAACCCTTAATTCATGTTGAAAATTGCTTAAATGTCATTTCGTCCATTATGATTTCAGCTATTATTATAAATAATTGTAATAAAATCTACCAGTTTCCCAGATGTTCACCATTCAGAACTGGTAAACCAACAATATAAAATAAGATTTTAGACAATTTGCGGTCTGTTGACATCCGCTTTCTCATAATATAGCAAATAGTCTCCAGCGACGGTTTTTGTGTAGGTATCTTCATAAAAAGTCCCAGTTATGTTACTTGTCTATAAATAATATTGATATATTAGTATACTTAAATATGATATGATAAATGATAAATTAAATTTAATGATTAATTAGTTTTCAGATTAGATTGGAGAAGGCGTATAGAATAACTCAACTAACTAACTCAATACAAAGACGGTGCATGCTGAATATCCATAATGGTCGGCTTTATTTGCAGTTTGTGCAGGTGTAAGCTTAGGTGCTTTAATGCTTATATATTAATATATTCATTATATATATTCATTTATCATTGCTGAAGCGAGAAGTTTCTATTATGAGAGCTAAAGAAGGCGTTTAAAATTTCGATTCTTCATATTGACAAAACAATGCATGTAGCATTAGAATGTATGTGAGGAAACAAAATATATTATTCTAATTATGGAATATATTTCCAGTTTTAGCTCATCCTTCATTGGAGAAAACCACTCTCTGTGAAAAATGGGCATCATAGGACCATCGGCTCACAGAAACGTTTTCAATAGAGCTATATATGAGCCGGTTGTGCTAAGTATCTGCAATTAAAACATTTAAAAATCAAATATATTTGTATTAAGAGATATATAAATTGTACCGAGCTGAACGCGGGCAACGAAGGGGTAAAGAACGGCACCTGAATGGATTTTGCCCTCTGCGACCGTCGCAAGATCATTAAAATCATTTTTCTAGTCGCCACATCGCATTTATACCATTCAATGTCGTACAACGTTCCAGCCACGGCCAAACTCTATAAGAAATATGGAAATAGGTAAGCTGAGCAGCAGTTCCCTTATTCATCTTACTAAAAATAAAGTAAAGTCTTTGATACAAATTTAGGTGGCAATAGTCATCTAGAGATCTGCGTTCTTTTTAATATTTTACTTGCACCTCTGTAGATGACTTTCAGTTTTTGTAGATACTGTAAACTCTACGCTGATCTTTTCTTTTTCCTATTGAAAAAAGTTATTTTCTTTAACTTATGGGAAACAGTGGAGGACGGTATCCTTTGTCTCTGTTTATTCTAATTTTATGTAGTATGATGAATAAAGTACTAAAATCAGAAGACTAATGTTATGCAAACAGGAATGTAGCAGGATACGTATAGAATAAAAATTAATATATAATTAAATAATAAAATATATCTATATATACATATTTATTATATGAATTACACTTTCGCTGACATGATTGCTGCCGAAGCAATACAGGAAGAGTTGAGTCAGGGCTGCAACGCTGTAAAATATGTAGGTTAGGCCGCTTAACGAGGAAGTGTTCTACCAGTGGGTGAGTCCCGCGTTTACATAAAGTAAAAGAGCAAAAAGAGCAGTGATTAGATGGTAACAAGTGATTTCGCTTTAAATTTTTGCAGTTTGACATGACACAATGGTAATATGGTCAATATTGAATTTTCATTTTGTATTTTCACTTTGATAATATATTTTTATTTCAGACTGATTGTAGAGACGATTTTAGAGAGAATACATGAACTGTATGAGCTCACCAACATAATATCCAAAATAGTTGAGCAGAGGACAAAAGCAGCGGAGAGGAAGTGCATCAGCACGATAACGGTAAACTGCCTGGTGATATCTGTGCACAAGTCGATAATCGCATTATGACGCTCGACAATCCCGACGAGCTGAGTCCGTATTTGGTCGTTTTCTGAAGGCGTGTATATCTCCACTATACATTGAAAAGTATTATTTGATTGGAATCATGAGCTTACATGCAAATTTCACTTACACTCATCTAACGGAAAGAAAATGGAACGAATATCTAGTTGTATCACACGAAATATTCCGCTGATGTACAAGCAGCTGCACAGAAAGAATCCATCAACAAAGCTGAAGGTGAACACGGTGCAAGCCCCAGAAGCCGTGAGCAACAAATAGGTGAGAGGAAAGAAGGATGGCATCGTCGCAAATGCTGGTAGTCTATAATTGTAAATATTTGTTATTTTGTTGTTAATTGTAAATTTATGTATCATATGTATAATGGTTTCCAAAACGAGATGAGCAGATATAATACAGAGCTCGTAATTCGATAGAACATGTGAAATTTTAGTTGCTTTATACATATATATGTGTATTCCAAATAAAAATGTTTATTCCAAAAATTGTTAAATATGCTTATAATATTGCTTTCTGATTCAATTTCGTTAGGTAAATTTCAGCCTTCAAAAGGAGCGTTAAAGTTTTTTCCCACGAAAGTACAAAGCTAGTAAGTATTATTTACGTAAGCAATAGCTGCATGGAATGCGGTTTGGAGCAGTGGAATAGTAAAATTTTTGGGGCGTGGCAAAACAGAAATTGGATTTGGCAGCGGTTTTGTTATTTATCATATAAAATGATCACTTACATTATATTGAAGGGTAGATCCACTTGACCCGGTATTCCGTAAGCCCAGCGATAAAGGCCCATTATCAAGGGCTGAATATTGAAGGCCGTGTTGGTTATCGAGCCGGAGGAAACTAACAGCAGACTTAGACGATTCGCTATTGTGGATTTACTAACTAGCGTCTTCTGAGCCTCGTAGCTCCTGCTGCTGTACAATATAACGCGCAATCGCTCGACCAGTTCGTGCCACTCGCGATGATGGATAACGAATATGGACAATTTGAGCACAGAAACGGCTTTGGTGCTGCCGGGGCAGAACGCTTCCAACGCTCTTATCAAATTGTCCAAGTTAGCAATGCCATAGAGATTCTCGCCACAAGCACCGACCAAGATGACAAAAAAGCTAAAGGCGCAGATCAGATTCGTAGCCCAGCTGCGTTTATACATTGGCCAGATGCCCACTATTCGCCCAGAAAAACGTGGTATCTTATAGAAGCTTTGTCCAATGGCTGACTCATGACTGTTATGCATTGTTCTCTCAAATATTTATTGTCACTATATAACTAGCTATGACAGAGACTCAAATGTCAGCTAGACTCCTTTTATACGCTCATATTTAATTGTTCAACCAAGTTTCGATAAGACATTGGTAAAAGTTTTCACTTATTTTTACATACACGCCTTCTCATTAAGGCACGCTTCTTTGGCTAATTATTGTGGTAATAGCTGTTATTGAGAGCTTTCTTGTTGCCTAACAAACTATAAACAGAAGGCATTTAATTAACGCCCATTCCTTTGGATAGTTCAAGCATAATACCTACCTTACCTAAAGACTATCTACATTCATACTTTTATAACCTAAGGTGGGGCTACAGAATTTTTCGAATATCCCTGTGTTACGGAGTCAAATTTTTGATTCTGAATGGAAAATATCGTATCACAAGCAGCAGCTAGTGTTTAAGAAATGTTTTGGTTGGCCATTGAATAAGTCCCGAACATTCCATCGTTAACTTATTTACTGTTGAATAAAAGTAGAGGACAGTGCCGAGGTTTTATCTTACTTTCTCTATTTCACTAGGAGACTTTATAATACCTTCACTCTCGTTTGTCCTATTGAATAAATCTTGAGACCAATCTTAACCCTTTATATGGCACCACGTCCGATTTTGACGCGGTTTCTTTTATTAGATAAAAAAATAAAAATAAAAAATTCAACTTTTTTTTTTGAAGCTTTACTTTTTTAGACATTTATTTAAGGATAAAAGGATTGTTGCATATATGCAAATAATTGAAAATAATTGAAGTATTTCATAGTGTTATGTAAGAAGTAAAACCAAATATTTTTCAAAGTTAGTTTAATAATATTATTAATTAATTATATAACACATTTAAGTAAAAAAGTGCAGTTATTTTAATGTAAATGAAAATTTTTGAAACAATTATTTCTTTTGTTAAAGCAGAGTGCTACGCCACATTTTTCGCACATTATCTGTGAAAAACCAGTGCAGTTTGGATATTTGCATCTGTTTCTGTTGTCAGTCCACGTTGGCCAATGCCCAACCTGATCTTGACGCACCATTTGATTTGGTACATGTTGAGTTGGACCTCTCTGCTTTTTTTTCTGCAATTCATTTTCAAAAGAATACCTTCGCTTTCCAGTTTTAGATTTTGTGTCTACCTTTCTCAAAACCTCAGCGATGTCTAGCCGAAACTCTGATGAGCTTAAAAGTTTTTTTTGTCGATGCATTTTCTTTTTGCACTCGTTTATACAACAACCAAGCGTTGCTGACTGTCAAGTCCAACAGGTGATAAAAAACCCGGACTTGCCAATGCTCCTTATCCAAATTTTATACCTTCCCATTATGCTATCTATGAGATCAACGCCACCCATATATCTATTATATTCTGCTATTTCAAATGGACGGTCAATATGAATATAATTCTTTTGGACTTTATTGTAACGTCGGGCTGTGTCTTTGGGACTTATTCCAGCGTAATTGGATGCCAAAGTAACAATTTTGTTATCCACCCATGAAGTTTGGGAAATGTCCACTCCACCGTAGTCGGCAACATATTCTACTGATGTACCTCGTGATTTTTATACCCTGAACCCATTTTCAATGGGAAACACATAAAACATGTAATATAAACAGAAATACTCTATGTTGCATATATACAACAAAATAAATTCTGCACAATATAACTTCGAATAGTTGTTTGATGTATATCTGCAACATACCGATTTTTCGAATCTACACACAATACACAACAAGGAACATGAAAACTTGATAACCCACGCATTTGAAACATATTTACTTTTGTTTTTCTTAAGTTTTTCGTAAAGAAATATCTATATTTTATAATATATCTATATTTATAAATAACATATGTTTTACAAAACATCTAGAAGAGTGCCCAAAGCAAATTATATATAAAATTGGTATGTTTCAGATGTACAACAAAAAGCCACATTCGATTTTTTCGATTTGCATTGCGAAAAAATATATTTTAAAGGGTATGTTTCAGATATGCAACACGGCCATATAAAGGGTTCATATTTTTAAGGAAACATGGGACCCAACTACAACTAAAAAATCTAGTAGCACAACCCACCTGAAACTTACCGCTTGCTGTTAAATGTTCAGAACGGGACGTGGCACCGTACGCATATCCATTAATCCAACACATAAGCATAAACAGACGAACACATGTGCGATAATAAAATGCAGTTAGCGATTCGAGAGGGCAACTACTACTGATGTTTGTCCTGTTCTCTGCTGTCCGTCCTCCCGCCAAGGGTTCAGCTACCTGAAAAGAGTCAAGCCGCATGAGCTAACAACAAAAGAAGAGCACGAACAGCTAAAGCAGCAACAACAATAAACGTGGCAATGTGTTGCACATTTGGAAGCAACATTTGCCCAAACAAGGCCAACGCAGGCGAAGGCAACAAGCTGCAGGACAGGCAACACAAGTCCTGTAGGACGAGCAAGAACGCAATTGAAAATTCCACAGTTTGCATAAATCAGCGGAAAAACGCACAAACCAGCCGAGCGAGCAAACACGGTCACAAGCACGCTGTAAACATGGTCAACGCAGTCAGCCACAAAGCTGAAGCTCCTCTCACACGTTTAGAGCAAATATAATTTACTGATGTTGATGCTGATGAAGCGATTGGCGATCAGACAGCACCTCGTGACTGCAAATAGAAAATAGAAAAGATCAGATAGCGCTCGTAATAGTTGCATGTACATATATTAATAATGTAACAAAAATATTCCTAAATATTGCGAATTCACATCTTGCCCAATTATTATTATATTTCCAATCAATGTAAACTACTCTTACTATTGCAATGAAATGTAATGGTTCTCTCAAGACTACAGGACTCGCTGATAGTTCATCGCAGCCGTAAGTCTTTGAGTAGAATTTGAAAACAAATACACTTGTTATATTCTGAACCCATTGAAAATGGGAAATCAGCGTATAATGCTTTTGTGAAAAAGTATGTAACGGGCAGAAGGAGTCATCGCAGATCAGCACGACGAGCTGAGTCGATATAGCCCCGTCCGTCCGTCCGTCCGTCCGTATGAGCAAAAGGATCTCAGAAGATATAAGAGCTAGAGAGCTGATATTTGGCACACATACTCGTGTATACCATACGCAGTACGAGTTTGCTTTATTTTTCCGATAGCTCATCCAATAACTTTTTTATCGAGAATAATCGAAAAATTGATTTGTTTTTTTCAGCCTAATTTGAACACTTTTAGACCTGGAGTCCTCAAATTTGGTTTGTATATAAAGTTAATGGATACAAAGATTTTGTAATTTACAGATTTTGGATACCACGCCCCCTTCGCCCCTGATTTGTAAATTTTGCATTTCAAGTACTAGAGACTTGTGCTTTGGAATGTACACACATTTTCGCCATATGATTATGCTCTAAACGTTTTATTATAATTGTATGTCTACAAAAGAAATTATTCAACAAATAAATTCTCATAATATTGCTCACACTGCAGCGCAGCCCAAGCGCAGTCGCTGCTTACTGGGCAGTTAGCAGAGCGCGTTGTTATCAGTGCTGCCAACTTTTCCGGGCAAGAAAATGCTAAATTAACCTTTCAAACCTGCTAGAAAAGGCTAGATCAAATTCAAGAATAGCCAGAAATATAGCCATTTCACTTTTCATACCCTAAACCCATTGAAAATGCCAAATCAGGGTATAAAAGTATATATATTCTTTACCAGGGCGACGAGTTGAGTCGAATTGGGACGGTCTGGATCAGTGCTGCCGTTTTGGCTTATTTTCGGCCTGATCTGGCTTATTTTTAAGTGCGATTGCGGAAAAAATTTGGAAATCGCGGATAGCGGAAAATCTGGCCTATTTATGAATCGAATCAGCTAATACATATTTTGGTTAATATCTGATATTAGTTACCGATTAATAGACAAACTAACAAGCTGGCAACTATTAAAGGCTAACATCACAAGTTCTGCAATACTTTCATCTCTAACATATAGTGGTTAGATAGATTTGCTGTTGTGCTTCGCATACATTCGTTACCTTGGTGGAATGACGAAGTTGAAGGGTCTTTAGCCAAGTCAATTTATTAAAATATTAAATAAGAAATAGGATGAACATTGATACGTTAAACTCAATATCAACCATAAGGTAAAGGTCTAAAGAATTACAGCCTCATTAAAACAGAAAATAATATTTTAAAAAATTTACATCCGAATTAAGCCGAGATAACAGATGATGTTTTGATTACAGAGTTTTTCTAAATTGTCTCAAATCGATCGAAACTAAGGAATATTTAAATTATGAGACCGAAGATCTGTAGACTATCTATTGGCAGATTTATCATCAATGTAAATATTTAAAATGAATAATGTTAAATTTTCTATTATTTTCGTTTTGTTTTTCACGAGTATGAAATGTTTGTTAGAATATTTGTACGTGTATCTAAAAAAAAAAAAAAAAAAACAATTCTAAAATATTAGCTTATTTTTCAGCTAATTGTTTCTGGGATTTAGCTTATTTTTGCTTATTTTTTGTCCTGGTTCAGCTATTTTTTCTCGGGAAAAACGGCAACACTGGTCTGGATGCATGTGTATGTATGTGTGCATAGAAGAAGTGCAGAATGATTAGAGTATCAGCTTACAGGGTTCAGGGCATCTCCTAGTCGAGCAGTCTCGACTGGAGCCTTCTCACTTGTTTTAATATAAGCGTGCACAGTAATGCACAAACTTGACCAACGTCTCAAACTATTTTAATGAATTTGTGGAAATTTGAACCCGAACTTCAGTTTTAAGAATCAAAAATTCGAATTCATATTAACAAGGAAAACTAGGAGATCCCTTGCACTCTGGAAAACATGCTTAAGTATTCTACGATTATTTTATGCACACATGCATACACATGTTCATACCACTTTAGTCTGTCATATGTCATAGTGATATATCATGCAATTTTATTCATTACCATTTTACATTAGATATACTTAAACAGGCAACAAGCAAGAAAATTATGTTTGCTAAATCCGTATGTTCCACGTAGCATTATTATATATTTAATGGCGGTCTTGCGTTGCCTAGTGTTGGGGTATGCTTAGAAAATTCAATTTGCTGTCGTAGCTGTTTTAGTTGAAGTTGAGTGTTTCGAATGTCAGATAAAGTGGGCGCCAAGGGCCATTTGAACCAGTTGAAATGGTTTCCAAAAATATTATGTAATTGGAGATTGAAATTTCCTAATTTACTTTGAAGCTCTTTGGACGTTCGCTCAGATAGCTCTTGAGCTTTAATACAATGAAGTAGCCGTTGTTTGTTAAAGTCTTCCAATATATGACCATATGCTTGGTAACTGCTAAGCTCCTGGCTCAATCGGTTTTTTAATTCTTCCCGCTGTTTCTCGCTCCGCCATATTTGAAGGCACAGTCGGCCCATGTTCAGTTCATGATTCGCACTTTTCTGAAGCAAAGCATTTAACTTTTCTCGTGCTCCATTTAGCTGAGCTTGTATTTCGGCTTCAAATCGCAACTTGTGGTCCAACTGTTGGCTGATTGAATGATTTGCTTGGGCTTGTTCTAATAGCTGACTCTCTATATCCATAAGTTCCTGCTTCAGCCGCATGTCCGTTTCATCAGATAGCTCATTTTTATTAAAGGCTATGAGTTCCTTTTCTTGCAAATCGAAAGATTCATCTGGTTGTGGTGCAAAGTCCAAGAGAAAATCAAACATCAATAGAACATTTTGGAATGATGCACTGGGCACCAACATCCAAGATTTATTCACTTTATATGGATATTTCAGCTGACGCATAGCCAGGACCGATTGCTCTATTTGATTGTCCCTGTCGAAGGGTTTTAGCCGAATACCTGTGAATCTTAACAAATGACTCAGAATATGCATGAAGTCGTTTAAGCTCACTTTTTGGAGGCCTGGTTTTATCATCGTTTGAAAGTCCTTTAAACTCCGTAGATACGATACGATGCGAGTCTCCATTTGCATCAAAATCTCCTTGGTAAAATCTAGCTTACGTCCAGATGGACGGCCACATTCCTTCGGATGGGAGTAAGGACTGAGAAAATCCGTCGATTTTGATGCAGATCTTGTTTGCAACTGCTTCGACACAAGGTGCAGCGGAGACTGTTTTAACTCCTTTGTAGATCGTGGTTGCATACAAATACCTTTCGATGCGGAGCCAACAGCATTGAGCGATTTAGATGGGCAGTTTGCGACTTCTTTGAAATGCAGCGGCGATTTTAGGAGTTCCTCAATTCGGCGCGGTTCTGTGAAACATCTTTATTTCGATCATGCAATACAATCTATCATCTAAAAGTGTGATATATTAATAGTGACGTACTCAAAATGTTTACGGGGGCTTCTCAGTTGTTGCAGGGCGTTCTTCTCTGGAGCGTCATTTGACGATTGGGAATGTTTAAAATCCATTTCACTTATTAATTAATTTGTCTCCTTTTTAATTTGATGCGCAGTCTAACCAGCGTTGCCACTTCTTGTAATATGAAATCGATTACATTTGAATATTATCGAAAAACTGGCAAGAGGATCGATTTGGCGGGTAGATTTAATCTCTAACCAACCAGTTTTTTTCCGATTAAAAGTTTTAATTTTTCGACAGTGTAATTTCTGTGACTACTTTACACTGAGTTGTCTGATTGTTTTTTAGTTTAGAGTACAATAGTATTTCTCCTTTATTTAAATGATTGAGTGATGCTAACAATAAATTTTCGTTTGAATGTTTTACATGAGGGAGCTGAAAATTTGCGCTAATATTACTACCAGTACTGCGACTATTACTACTGCTACTATACGTTAATAGCCACTTTACTTTAGCTGTAACTGACAAATATTCATATTTTTGTCAACAAAAACGTTCCCCTTTGAAGCCAAACAAGTATTCAAAAAACTGGAAACTATCATATTACTAATGTAGCTCAGATAGATAGATATGTAATGTATCTCAGCACGTGAAGGCGCCCGTGCACCGCTGTCTGGTGGAAATCAGAAAATATATTAACATATTTCAGTGAAGCTTTTAGACATAAATAGATACAGTATATGTTCCTTATACGCTGAACTGAGTCCTTTTTGCACTGTCTGTCAGTCCGTGTGCGTGTAAATGCATGTGTTATTTCTTTTGTATACAGAAAAGTGGAGATTCATTAGAACATCAGTTTTTCTGGGGATTCAGGGGCGAGTCGAACAGTCCCGACTACAGAATTCTTATCTAAATTTAGAGTTATTTTAGATATGAGATTGGTTGCTGATTCGCATATCACTAAATAATTTTGCATTTATTTTATATAATACAGTACATGTTGCATTAAACTAATTTAATATTATATATAATGCGTTCATATATAATCATATAATTTATAAACTTTATGCGCCTTTTTCACATAACTTTTTCTCACAAACCAGCGCATCAACATTTGAATGCTGATCTTTCGTAGTTCTTAATTCACATCGCCTTCAGTTTTGGTAACAACAATTATTGCTATTTTATGTATTTAGATTAAAGTATGTCGTTACAATTTATGAAATATAACATTTTTTCTACGTTAAGAGTACTAGTGATATTTTGTTCTCTTAACTTTAGACTTTCTCTGTGCTGGTATATGATAAATAATTGCTTTACAGTTAAAACCCTTCAAGTGTGCAGCACTTCATAATATTAAACTGATGGCCAAATAAATACTTGTTTCATTTATGACAACAGCATTTAAAATATTTACAACTTTATATAAAACTATAAAAGAACATAAAACTTTACATACCGCGTTTATTACTCAACTTGCTAGTTATATATTTTGTTTTATTATATATTTGTGGACCGTTTGAATGACTAACAAGTTTAAAATTTCGTTTCTCTAAAAACTCTCTATAATGCTCATTCTTTTTTGTGGTAGCCGCATCGGTATGTGTATGAATGTTTTTTTATTAATAATGAATAAAGCATATGGCCAAAACTTAACATGGAGTGCAAAGATTGAGCCAAATAACTATGCAAAATACGCTTGAATAGGATGCATTTCACAAAAAGAAAATCTGAACATAGTGCCTACATTATAGTTATACATACGTATATGCATATAGGTATTTCATAATAACAGTAACTATTAACATAGCGGACGACAAAGGGACGCTCAATTAGAATTAAACATTAATCAACAAACTGACCACAAATCGACTACCACTCATTCCTGGCAGAAGCCCTCAGTCTCCTCAATGGCAAAGGTCAATTTTTCCACCAGTTGATCGTAGCTTTTATAAGGTGGCAAATCCAGGCGGTTGAAGCAAGTATGCGAGCGTGGTAACCAGGTTTCTTTGCCCACCTTTTCGATGCAAAACCGCTGCGGACCATTCGAGCCCATCAGCTCCGCAAAGCCACCGACTGGAACGCGACATGTGCCCGTTACAAACTGCAAAAGACGGGCGCGCTTCTCATTGTCCCTTTCACGTACAAACTAAAGGAAATAAAACATTATTATATATACAACTGAAATCTGATAAGTTAAGTAATCTCACCTGCCAAAACCAGACCACTTGTTTGGAATTTCGATTATAATGTCTGTATATTGTGTTGCGTTGCCAGTCTTCAACATCCACGTCCTGCATACCGCATAGTATAAGTTCCAGCTCGCGTTCGTCAAAGTACTTTAGCCACTCGAGAGGCACAACTTCGTTAAAGCCCTCAAGAAACGTCTTGGTCTGCTGTTCAATACCACTATAAAAATTTAATGGATATAATAAAGTGCACAAAATTTTAAGAAAATCTAAATTGGATCAAATATTTACCGGGTCATACGCCACTCGGTCATAAGTGTTATGTACTCCTCCTTATTCTCCTCTGTAACTCGCTCCTTCTCGCCATTTTCTTTTAGTTCGTGGTGAATTATTTGACCTAGAACTTCAAAGTCCACGCTGAACCACAGCTCAAGACCACATTCGTCAATATTATTGTCTCGCACCCAAATGAGCGAGTTATAGAATTCGGGATCAATGGTCTCAATGTCCTTGATGGTCAGCTTTTTGTTTAGCATTCGCTTGTAGAAGGGCATTGTGAAGCCACTGTAGATGAATCGTCCATGATACAATGCCATGGCAATGAAACGTCCAATAAACTTGAAGTACTGCAAGTGGTCCGGATTCACATAGGATGCAGGATTAATTTGTAGACTATAGTTATTCTTGTTTGCGTACTCGAACAAACAGTACATGGGATTTAACACCTCGTGCGACAGCAGAAAGAACCACTCGCGTGATACGCCGCCATAGTCCAGGCCCTCTTCACCACGGAAGATAATGTACAGCCGGCGACGTAGTTCATAGGCGGGTAAGCGCATAATTTGATGATATGAGTCTTCGAATAGCGTCTGCCGTGTAACAGTGATCTTGATATGCGAGGGCAAGGCATTGCTCTGGCAGAGATACCGGAACTGGGATAGCTTCCAGCGGAAGCTGCGCTCGTAAGCACGCGGAACACCATAGACGCCTTTGGCACCCTTTGGCGCACCTGGACGGGGATCCTCGAAAGTCGTCCGCCGCGTATTGTGATCAACAAAAAATCGCTCGCCAGCCGCCGTGTAGCGTATTTCCCAACCTGGCGGAAGTGGACCCTCATTGATTAGGCTGACCTCCTGTCCCTGGGTACGTGGATCCTCCCATTGGGTAGTGCGGTTCTTGTGATTCACAAAGTAGACTCTATTGTCAGATTGCACTTTTTTTTCCCAGCCATCCGGCAGGGGACCCAGCGCATCTTCGTCATCTTGAGTCACCTGCGCTGTCACAGCCGTAGGTTGTTGCTGCTGCTGAGAGTAGAGGAACCGCTGATTACCCTGCGCTACCACATGAGCGCGCTGGCCCTGCCAGTGCTGGAAGTGCATTAAGCGTTCGCTGTTCGGCCGTTGCCATGTAGTCTTCCGCGTATTGTGGTCCACGTAATAAACCCGACCCCGCACATCCTTTCTTATTTCCCAGCCGGGCGGCAGCGGCGTCGGCTTTTCCCAGTACGTGGAGCGTGTGTTGTGATCAACGTAATATCGCCGTCCGTACTGATCCAATCGTATTTCCCAGCCAGCAGGTAACAGCTCATCTTCCGCCGGCTGCGTTTGCAGTTGCGTATCTGCACCATTGCTCACAGGTAGTCCAGCGCCGCATACGGCTTGATCCGGCGCGCCACCTAGCATGTAGTTTGCCTGACCTCCATTTTCAATCGACCCGTTTACGTAAAGTGGACTCTGAGTAACTGGACGCTGCTGCACCGGTACAGGTGCCGGTGGTTGCTGTGGGTACGGCGCTGTTTGTGGCACAGCTGCTGCTGCGGTGCCATTACTCATTCGCAGTGGTTGCTGAGGTTGTGCCACCTGCTGTTGTTGCTGTTGCTCCCATATTGGCGGTGCAGCTGAGCGTCGCTGTTCCTGGGTCACACCATTGGATAGTGGTGAGCGGGTAGCCGCCGGCGGCTCCGCATTATTGGAGCGAAGACGCATGCGAGCGCGCACACCTCCATAAATCATACAGCTGCGGCCCGCTGCTGCAGCATCGCTCACCACAGGATTAATCGCCTGGACGGCAGTGCCATTTTGCTGCAACTGGCCCACCTTGCTCATGTCTAGTTTAAGGCCATTAAGAATCGCCACCAGCTCTCCACTTTTAGTTTGTCGATTGTCGGATTTGGAGGTGACAAAAAGATCTATTGTCAGTTCGAGGTACTCGCAGCGCCCGTTATAGTGGTGCAATATGTGGCCTAGTTGAATGACACGCTCTCCCAGCATTGCATCTTTGCGAAAGCTCGAATGGTCCAGAACCTTGAAGTGCAGCGTTGAATTGGGCGTGATCTAAGCAAATCGAACATTAATAATATCAATTAGTTAGGGGATAAACCATATATTGTAAGTTACTTACTAGCACTGTAAACTCCTCATTCCATTTGGGCAGATAGCTGTTCTTTACTAAATCTGTCTTACGCTTGCTCTTGCTGTCTATTAACAGCTCCACGTAGGGATTCGGTTTGAGAAAACCATTATTACGCAGCGAGGCCTCCTCAACTGTAAAATCAAATCACAGAATATCCAAAAAGTTGTATGATTTCGAACTTCCTGTATACTCACTTGTCACGCTTAATTGATAATATCCTTGATTACTGCTCCCAGTACCGTTGCTTCCACCACCTGTATTCGCAGTCCCACTCGCACCAGCTCCTGCCACTGCTGCTGTAGATGCAGATGTTCCTGGTAGGTTTGGATTACTGCCGGCGATGTTAGTTACAGTTTGTGTAGCGTCGAGACTGTCGTTGCCAGCACGAGAAGCTGCACCTGCTGCCTGACCATTTCCATCAGCCATTTAAATGCTGCTCCTAGCTGCTTGCTAGTCTTTACGCCTATTAATCCTGCCCAGCTGCTCCTTGCTGTTTGGACTGTTGGGAAATCAAGAAAAATTTTATATCTGATAGCTACAGCTAAGAATTAAATCTTCACAAGGATTTTAAAGATATAATTAAATTTTTTCAAGACTGACAAAACTATAACAAACAGACACCACATCTTAGTCGATTAAGTCGATTATTAGTTTAATGCGACCTATTTACAATAGACTCAGAGTTATGTATTATAAATTGATTAGATTTTGCTCTGTTTTATAGCTTTATTATTATTATTTTTCGTATGCCGATACCTTGTTAAATCAAAAAAGCTTTATTATTCAGAAACTTTTTGTTTCAATCTGTTCGAAGCTACAAAAAAAAAAAAAAAAAAAAGAACGACTCTAAGACTCTTAGAAACAAAGAGAACTTATAGCTACTTTTACTGATTAGTACTATATATTCATCTTAGTTGACATATATATAAGCATACATACAAATATATACATGCACATATCAACGACATGCAGACTATATTCTCACGATTTTCAAGCCATAGGTGTACATATGGGAGTTTATAGAATAATTTTGATAGCACGCACTTTATGAGTACAACCACCACCACTTGCCACTTGTCTGAATGAGTTGTATAATCGTGACAATGAGTCACAAACGAAAAGTACGCAGGTAGTACAATCCACAATATATACAAATTTGATCTATGCATACGTATTTATTACTTTTGTATCATTAATAACAAAGCACTCTACTTTTTTGTATTATTGTAGTCAATATTCTCTATAATGGGTTACTTATTGTTTGGCAATTGTTTAAAATATTAAGTAATAAACTATATAACTAATTATTCCTTTGCTTATTTTTATTTAATAGGTGAACAAGTGGTATGACCACAAATGACAATTTTATGGAATGCAAGATCAATAAATTGCTTATTTTCTAATGTGAAATAGAGTGCAAAAACAATTAGCAATCAGTATATAGAAAGGCCGAAATAAAAAGTTACTGTTGTTATCGTGTAAGTATGTATGCACTTGTTAGTGCATGTGTGGGTGTGCTTGGTGTATTTTTTATTAATGTGTGCGAGTGTGTGTGTTTGTATAAATACTGATATGAAGAGGGCAAGCCAAGATTATGGGCAAAAGGAAACTTCAATAGCTATGTAATCAACGAAGCGAGACAACAGCTGCGTGAACCATATGCACAAGCGGTAATATTGTGAATATATACATACATATGTATTTATATTTGTATAAATCTATTAAAGGGATATGCGAAATAAATAAGAATGCATTTAATATATATGTACATATATACGTATTCAAACACAAACACAAAGGTTAGTTGTGGGCTGAGATTACTATGGGGTATGCATTGACACACCTGGTTTACCTATGATACACCCTCACACAGCAAACCAATCACCAGTACTAATGTACACGCTTACGCATGTAATGCACAACAATTCTACATGCATATATAACCGTTTACTGCTATGTGTGTGTTTGTGCATATACATATGTATGGGTATGTGTGCCACTGTTTGTTTGTAAATGAGGCAAAGGTCGCGGTAAGGCGGAAACTTAATTCCTGCGTCAAGCCCTTTTCTTGGAAAAATTAACAAAAAATAATAAGACGCATTTTTCAATGCACACAAGTGATTTTCCAATTATGTGTCTCACCTATTTCAATAACTCTGAAACTCGAAATATTTCGCTTACCTCCTGATCTTGTTTTCTTACAATTTATGCACTATCAGCCAAAATATTTATTTATATACGATTTTACAAGAAACGAACAATAATTCGCGACAATGTGAAATAATTTATAAAATGTGGGAAGCACTTCATAGCATAATACAGCTTAACATTTTGTATTTTATTGTTGGTGTTACTTAAATTACAGAATCAATGCATTGGCAAAAAAATTAGTTTTCGTTTCGATTGAGAGCTACCAGCTGTGGGATATATACAAATACTAAAATTAGGTATACTGAAATACCAATGCAGTGAGCAGTATATTTTTGTAAGGTGAAACACAGAAACTGTTATTTCCTTTATTAAATGCAACAAAGCGTTACACATGCCTTTAGAATTATGGGTTTTGCTAAAATTATTGTCTTAAGACAAATATTTATTTTTGTATACACAAAACAAACTTCCACGTAAAAATATAGGTATTTTTTAGGATATTTTCTGTTTTTAGTATTTATATTTAGTACTTTTAGCTTAGGGGCATAAAGCAACTAGCAATTCACCAATTTTTTTATTTATAACAATGATAATTTATGTACGAATATTTCTTCAGCGTGTCCACACTATAGTAAATAACAGGGTGTATTTATTTAATTAAATCTCATTATTTCTGAAAATCGTATCTCAACAATCGATAAACGCACATCGATTGCTGATGCAAAATTTCTCCGTTAAAGATGAAAAATGTGGAACAAATTAAAAAAAAATTAAAATTAGTTCAGTTATTATTAATCAATCATATTGTGTACGAGTATATCCATCTAATTAACATATACATTACTATGCGAAGTTGATTCGATTATGATTAGTGATTAGTATATTAATTAACAGCATATATTCCAAATGCAGTTTTGAAACTACATATGCATATGTTACACTATATGTCAATCATGATAAAAGTGAATTTACTTTTACTTACCCTCGTCTGAACTGTATTTGAGTGCACAGTCAAATTTATTAATATAAGCAATTAATACCTTCTATTTTGTTTACTTGTCGCTTTATACCAATGATGAAGTGTAAACAAATTTTCTTTGAGCTTGTATCACGCTTTGCTCTATATTCAGGTCTCGCTTTAACTCACATTTCTCCGAGGCGCGATGTCTGAGCGCTAGCTTCGCCAGCACAAAGAGAAAATTATTAAAATTTAACATGCCACGATTCGTGGAAGTTCAGCCATTCGTATCGCGCACTTTGTCTATAGCGGAAGCTTAATTGCCGAGCTGGAATTTGCTCGTCTCTGAAAAAAATAAACTTATTAAAGGACATTCATAACAACGATATGCATGGACTTCTAATATATTTGTGTCTTTTAACCAGCCTATTTTACTTTTCGGAAGGTACTATAAGGCTTAACGAGTCATAAGTGATTTGTGAACAAAATACAGATATAATTTGAAAAATACAAATTTATTTATAAAGTTGTAAACTGGCTAGATGTATAAACATAAAAATAAACTGTTGAGATTCAAATTGTGCTTGATATATTAACAATTGATCAACCTGAATTTTCAAAGTGATTTCGATGTTTTGCTCATAAAATAAAGTTGATTCTGTGCATTAGTTTAGAAATTAAAATGTGTACTTAATATTTCCATCCTTTTTCCTCTTTTTCTTCCTATATGTTGTCCCGTCGCTTGTGGTTGGTGTTTAAGGTAAACCATGTCCCGAAAAGAGCCGCCGCCACAAGACACGCTGCGATGCTTACTACAAATGCCGCGACTTGCCCTCGAACTCTCACGTCTGGATACCCATCAAGTGTAAAGAAGGACTCGTCTATGAGCATAGTGTGGGCAGCTGTGTGCTGCCCGCCGAGGATTGGGAGTGTCTAACTCCTAGTGAACTGAATAATGCAACCAACAAGCTAGTCATGGGAAGCAAAGATGCCGACATTATTATAGTCAATACTGATGATGAATCGGGTGTTTTACTCAAGGAGTCGCCACAGTCACATGATGATAATGTGGAGATTGTTCTGGATGCTTCCTTAAGCAGTGAGGAGCAGAGTGCTCAACCTTTCAAGCCTGCACATGAAAGTACTGAGTATGAAAGCTCCTCAAGCAACACATTCGATTCCAGCGGAGATGGCGAACTTGTCGACTTCGATAGCCAAGTGCAGCTAGAAAATCGAGAGGGAGCGGTCAATATAAGTTACCCTACATCCGCTGTGGACCCAGAACCAATGACATTAAATAAACATCCAAGCTCTTCAATAGATCCTACTCTTAAAGCGCATTTGCAACGTCTGTCGCAGCTGATTGATGGACTGCAGCAAACCTATCAGAAGACAGACAAGCCCCAAACGGAAATGCGACCAGATCAGTTGAATGCTTTTTTGGCGCATTTTGATTTAAAAAACCGTTACGACATGTTCAATCCTTTAGGAGAAAGCCACACAGAAGCCGCAACTCCTGCGCCACCTACCACACATACGACACCTATGACGCCTATGACACCAACAATGCCAATGCAGGTCTCGGCTAGCACCATGGCTGCACCAACAATTCCACTGCCGAAGCCAACAGCTAATAAGACCCGTTTACAAGAGCATTTAACGAAACATCGAATGCAGCCGGAAACAAAGCTGCTGCTTTCTAATGCCCAGCCGTTTTCCTCGTACGGCCAGGGCTATGCAAACTCTCAAATTGTGGTCAATCGCCCAGAGGGATCAGTTACATTTACACTCCCTCAATACGGTTCCAGCGAAGAGCACAGTCACAAGTATGCTCAACCTCAGAGTCATGAGTACATGGGCGACCATGAGCCCAAGGTATCAGAGGAAACATTGAAAACGGTGCTGGAACTGTCCAAGCAGATGATTTCCGCTCAGAATATGCCAAAAGTTATTCCGAATCCAGCATATAACGGCGCTTTTTATGCCCAGCCAATTTTACAGCCTATCATATTGACAAACCATAATAATCCATTCCAGCAGTACTTCTCGATGCAAGACTATGAGTCTCATTCGCCGCCAAGGTCGCATTACATGCATCATAAGAAGCCGAGCGGATACAACAAAAAGCAGTCGCAGCCCAGCACCACGATCATTCACAATAATGTTATACCCGTACATCTGGCTAGCACAAGCTCTGGCGAAAAGGAAGTACTTGATACATATGGCAACAGCTTGGGTGTCTATCCAAGCAGTAACAACAAGAACAATCAAAATCAAGAAATTGAGAGCAACAACTATCTCAACAAATTTATGGCTATAATGACAACTCCACGACCGAATTCCAGCTCCAGCTCCATATCAGGGATGTCCGTGACGACAATGAGCAGCCAGTATACGGGTCAATACGCGGCTCCTTACGCTAGCGAATTTGTACAGACAACACCCCGCCCCTTCGAGCATCAGCCATCGGCATCCACCGTATCGGCCTACTATACGCCTAGTCCGCATCTCAATGAAAATAATGCACATCGCGTATTTAATGCGGAAAGTTATCCGACGTCTATGTCCGTCGACTTGAACATACCCCGCCCCATGGACAGTCACAATCTATTTCCGATGCATCTTAAGCCAGATCAAGTAAAAATCCGACCTAATTCCCAAAAAATCGAAAGCATGGAATTAAATGCTGATGAAGCGAGTAATATTAACTATGTCAACAACCATGCGAACAACTACAACAACAACAACAACAACAACAACAATTACAACAACCAGAACAGCAACAATTACAACAGCAACCAGAACAACAATCGACAAAATGGGCCCCATGTACTGACCTACAGCAGTGGCGACTCAGCGGATATATTGGGCATGAACAATCAATTAGCACCTGGCTCATATGTGGAGCAGAGCTTTGCGATGAATGAGCAACATCGACCTGACTACAATCCAGCCTACATGCCCAATCTGCCAGCGACTATGAGTAGTGTATATAACGAGCCAGTGCGCAACAGTATGTACCCATCTCCAATAAGCTCTGCTAATAGTATTCAGGTTTTGCCTGGGAAGACCAAATATCCGTCTGCACTGAATCAGCTCGTGAACTTTAATGGCAACTTCATCAGTCTGGATGTGTTTCAGAAGTCGATACTGCCATTAATGACACAATCGCCGTCGGCGTTATCCAACCTTGGAAAGGTGGAGGTGATCACATGTCAGGCCGGAGTACGCCAACCCAATCAGACGGACTGCACTCGGTACTTTGTGTGTAGCAAGAAGGACGGCAAAGTCCTGTCATACTCCTGCCCACCTTACACAGGCTTCAATAAGCAGACTCGCATCTGTGATGCAGTAACTTATGCCCAGTGCGGCTCTGTCCAAGTGCTCAACGGCTATTCTATCGAGGAGAACAAGCGACTGCAGATCGAGGCGCTTAAGATGCTGAGCGAAGCCAAGCGACGACAAGAGGCCACGCTTAAGAGCCAGAGCATTGCTAATCTTCTGCAACAATATAGCAGCATGCCGGAGCCTAGTGCCCCTGCTGTATCATCCAGCATGGAGCACAGTCTACTGGACTCCTACATTCTCAGTTTGCCTGAGTTAACTACCACGCCGCGCCCAACGTCAGTCATTCTTACTCTGCCTGATATCAGCAATAGCAATAGCAATAGCAATGACAACGTCAATATCAACACTAATAGCAACACTAACATTAACAGCAACAGCAACAACAGTAACAGTAACAATAACAGCAACAGCAATGGATCGGTGAAGAAGCGAAAATATTATTGCAGGGAGGGTGATAAGATACCTGACCAGACCTCCATCAGCAGCTATTTCGTTTGCTACAAGACCGCCCAGGGTCAGATGAAAGGTCACAAGATGACGTGTTCGAAGGGGTTGCTTTTCTGTCCGCGCACGCTGATGTGCACGCTCGCCAGCAAATGCTCCGGCTAGTTGGCTAGCAACGAAGCAAAATAGAGTTATAAGTTATTTATTTTACACTTAAGTTATGATTTCTATATTAAACCAATAACAGTAACATTGACACCGCATCAGATGGTTTTTGTTTCATATACATGTGTACATTTACTTACAGCGCAGTTCAAGAGGTCATTGTGAAAGTAATCTTTTTCTTTGTGTTCTACCTGTCAAGCATGTCACAATTTCTCTCATGACACTCGCCGTGCTTTTTAATACCAGTTCTTAAATAGCGCAAACGACCTTCTTATAAAACTTGACATACTCGAGGCCTGGATGTATACATATGCATACACAAATACGAAATTCCGAAAAAATAACATGATACTCTCT